CTTATTAAAAATCTTAATGTATTAAGATGGAGAGCTGGACCATGGGGCGATTGTTCCGTCACCTGTGGAACCGGAACACGCATCAGAAATTTAGAATGCGTACAAGAAATTACACCATCGCTGATAATGAGAATATCTGATGGTGCCTGCATAGAACCGAAAATTCTTTCTACCACGGAAGCTTGCGAAATGCCGCAATGCGAATTCAAACCAGTAATAGAACCAGTGACGTTGCCACCACCACAGTGGAGTGCAGGATTATGGTCTCCAGTAAGTGTTCATACATACTAGATTCACTACTAAAAAAAAAAATTATCACGTAATTCGCTTCGAGAAGTGCCCAAGTTTGGAAATAATTATTCAACAACAAAATATCATAGGACGATGATTCTCGTTTCAAAATAAAAACTTAGAACCTTTATATTAAAATACCATTCAGAGATTTTTAATTTGATACAACAATAGTCTATCATTGAAGCAATAATTTCTTTTTAGTGTTCTACAACTTGTGGTCCTGGTAAAAGGACGAGAACTGTGTCTTGTATTACCCAGGGATTGCCTTGCAATCTCGATGAAAAGCTTGAATCTCAAGAAACTTGTGATTTGGGACCTTGTACCACGAAAGCGTCACAAACGAACGCGATTCCAGCAAGATTACAAGATCCTACGTGGCTGTACACCGAATGGTCTGAAGAGGTATGCATATATTTTTTACTTCTTTTAAATAGTATATGTATATGAGTAATACATGTAAATGAGTAAAACAATGTAATATGTATTTCTTAATTTTACTAGTGTTCTGCGGAATGTGGAGTCGGCTTGCAAACAAGGAGAATTTTCTGCGAAAAAGGTCCGCAAAATGAACAGTGCGACGAATCCGCACGACCTGAAACTTCGAGAATATGTTCCAGTAATAGAACTTGTAGCGGACAGTGGTTTACAGGACCCTGGTCCGAGGTATTTATTTATAGCATCTAAATTATAGTATAAATCACATTCAAATCGTACGTCATACTATTACAAGTCGATATTAATTCATCTTCAGTGTTCTATGGAATGCGATACAGGAGAGCAAGTCAGAGAAGTAGTTTGTATAACGACGCTTCGAGGGTCTCTTCGCGTAGTTCTGGACATGAACTGTCCAGCGAACAAACCGGAAACGAGGAGATCCTGTAATGGTCCACCCTGCTCGTCCACGTGGTTCATATCAGACTGGACGGAAGTAATTTGAATTCTGTTATGCCTAAATACTTCAACTCTAATATTAACCCTCGGCATACACTGTGGGTCTGGAGTATCTCAGATTTAATTTGCAAACGACTTTTTAACAATTACGTCGTGAAAGACTCCTTTATCGAACTTATTCAATCCTTTATTAATCTTCTATATAAATAGTCTTTCGCAACGCATCTGGCAAAACTATTTTTTCATAAAAATTTATTTTTGCACATTATTAGTGTTCTCGATCGTGCGGAAAAGGCTATCAGAGAAGGGAAGTAAAGTGTCTGAATAAAGATGGCCAAACACCTGAACACTACGAGCTTCATTGCAAGGAGAAAGATCGACCTGCATCTCGACGGTTCTGTAACGATTATCCTTGCAGGGACGACACGCACAGATCTGAAACGCATCACGCTGTTCTGCAAGTTCAAAATGATCCCGAAGTTTCAAATGGTACTTAAATTTTGTTTGATATCAACAATAATTATTACTGTGTATTCTGAACAAAACAAAATTTTTATTTTCAGTACTCGAGGAAAATCCACTTTGCAAGGACAGTATAGCGAACTGCAAACTAGTTGCGCAATCGCGACTTTGTACTTATCAATTTTATCAACAGCTGTGCTGTCAATCGTGCTCTAGAACGAAACAAGAACTCGAATGAAGATTCGAGGAAGTATTGACAATGTATAAACTGAAGTGACTTCGTCGAAGGTAACTTCAAAGCGTTATACGTATTGCTGTAGACTTACTGCTGCACTGCCAGATAGAATTTTTCATGTCGATTTTTACATGTATCTGAAAATTATATTTAATACTTTTTGCAAAATGTGCGTAGAGAAATTGATACTTTAGTAGAATTGACATATTAATCCTTTATATAATATGTAATAAATTATAATTTTTTCAACGTCCTATAATATTTGAGAAACAATTATTTATCGTATCCGTATTTATAATTTTGATTTTATATAAATATTGATATTATTAAGTATAGATTTATTATGAACC